TATAAGCAGTATATTGGGAGAAATCAGTGCTGAGGCTGTCACCTGTTTTGACTACATAGATACCTGGACAGGAGGGAAGTATCTTTACATAGCTTTTTCTGGAAAAAAATACTGAGGCAGGTGGTAAACTTGACATTGGTGTAAGGCTGATAAGGACTGCAGTAAAAGAGTTGAAAATAAATATGGAAAAGAAAATTCATCTTGATAAATTTGCATTTGTGGTTCTCATGTCCCTCAGAAAGGAGAACTGAGCTGCATTGAGCAGGACGTTCACAGGCTGGAGAAGCCAGCAGACAAATGCACAGATGGGTGATGAGGACAGAGTAAACCCCTGCCCTGATACAGGCTGGGAGTGGACTGGCAGCAGGTCTCCCAGGCTTGGGAGCCTGAGAGATATCAAGCTGAACAGAAGTCTTGTGATGTGAAAGACTTGTCATGTGCTGCACTGAGTTAGCCAGGACAGAGAGGGGAGAAGTATAAACTAAAGAGACATCTAGATGTAATGTTTCCACTTCAGGACAGATGATGAATTTTCATTCAATGAATCTTTCAAGTAGAATGCTCAAATTTTGAGCAGTGCAGGGTTGACAATTGTAGCCTCTTTGTCCTTGAGAAAAGTGCCTTGTTGGAGTCAGACAGTGCCATTTCGTGTGCCTAGGGATAGTCACATCCTCAGCCTGCCATAGGCTCTGATTTACAAAGTGTTTATAATTTCTGCTTTTTCAGTGAAGGAATGAGCAGCTTCAGAGATTTCACACCCATAGACTATCTCCTGGGTAAAAAGTACAAACTTCCTTTTGGAGAAATGCTCTAGGAAAAAAAAAACAAACAACTGAGGGAGTTAAAAAGTCCTGTCTTAAAAAGCATTCCTATAGTCCCAGAAAGAGTGGTTTAGGTGTTTGTCAACACAAGCAAGGTTTTAAGTTGTTGTCAGAGTAAGACACTGAAGTTATGTCTTCTTTAATTACTGTCATCCAGCTGGCAACAAGATGGCTGAATATAAGGCGCTATGTTGGTTGAAGGTGAGACTTAGAAGGGCCACAATCTACAGGTGTTAAGCACCTTTTTTGATGGTGGGGAACAAATGGGATCATGAGAAAGAATTGTGTTTGGGATGTGCGTATTAGGAAGTCAGATGGGAAGTGTGGAGCTAAGGAAACATGCTGCTCATCCAGACTGCAATTATCAGAAATGGTTACACACAGAATCTATCAGATCTGGTGGTGAGTGCTGCTATCACAGCTCTGCCGTTTCCAGGACCACTACATCCAATTCTTCGATGCAAAAGGCATTATTAGACCTATGACAGCTCTGAGCAGCATCACTCAAATGTGGGTGTAAAGCATTATCCATGATGCAGGAGTAAAGCCAAGACTCATTTGTGTCTCTTAGCCAATGCCATTATATATCAATTCATGCTAACGTATATTGGGCTTTTTGCAGATGTGTTTGAAATAACATTTAAGTGTTGCATAACAGCCCAGGGAAGCAATTAATGTCACATAGGAATGTGGCAAAGCAAGACTATCCTTGTAATGTAAATGGTTCATGTGTGATTTTTCTGGTTGTTATGATTCTACTTCACTTTCCAAATTGGTCACTGCGGATATGCCTGTGGATGCAAAACATGAAAATTGTCAGAAATATTGCTGTGTCACTTCAGAACAGAAGATTTGATGAACCATTTTGCTGTACTGTTGCTGAAACTGGTATGTCTCTATATTTAGACATATATTTAGTTTATTTTTTGAACTCTGGTTACAGTGAACCATTTTCAATTGAGCATGAAACACTGATGGGACATACACTGAAGCTTCACACTAATTTGCTTTACAGGGAGAATTTTGGTATTTTTTTATGTTTTACAGGATGTCTCAGAAGAGCTTTCTATTCTGTGTTGTTACTAAATTTAATTTGAAAACTCTTCTTTGGTCACTTACTGCATACCAGCTGCAGTTGCTTAGCATTATTTTAAGAATTCATTTTATCTAATCTGTCACAGGCCAGAGAAACAAACTTCACATCATGTTGTAAAAACTGCTTTTTGTAAATTTTGGTTCTTGTGGAGTATCCTAAGGTCATATCTGCCTGCAGTATCCCATTGCAGAAGCCTTAACAAAGCACAGTACTGATCATATATCCAAGTGACACAGTGAAAATAGTTGTTAATATAATGTTGATGGGGTTTTAGCCTACAAATGGTAGTTAATAATATTGGTTGTAACAAAGAAAGAAAAGGAATTCTTATTCTCCTAGAAACCAAACTCCTCTAATCTGATTAAATTTGCTTCATACTGAAGATTTGAATTAAAAAAATAGTTTGAACAAAATACTGTTATTTTGAAGAGGAGACTCTCACAATAAATGTAGTCCTTTTTGGGTAAAACTACCTTTTCTTTCTGATTTCCTCTGACAAAGTTCTGTACCTGTAATTTTAGTGCTGTAACTCAGAGCAGGTCACTCGACTGCTTCCTCTGGTGAGGACATACCTTTCCACCTGCTGCTCAGCATCAGCATCATATTTTTTTCCCCTGCCCATCACAGGCAGGTCCCACAGCTGTGAAATTGCTTTATTTTTTGCTGACATCTTTTAACATTCCCATCCTCTGACTGCATCCAGGCTTCCAAGGTTTCTGTGTTATCAAATGCCTTGATTTTTTTTGTGGACAAGTTAAATGTTCAAATTACTTTCTCAGTACAGGCATGAGCTTCATCTTTCCAGACCTGTGGGTTGCACTCACATATTAGAGCGTGTTTGGCCACAGAAATGCAGTTTGGCCAAAGCAATACAGAATACAACAGGCTGCTGATTGGCCACACTGTCCTCCAGACTTATTGCAGTAAACCCCTCCTCTCACCTAAATGAGACAGAATTGCAGACACAAGCACACTTGTAGCCACATCTTCAGAATCATGAGACTCACATGCAGTTAATGACAGCTGTTGCTCCTGCTTCTGTACTCAGCTTAGGGCCACAGTGAAAAACAGTACATATAACTTGAACCCACATAACCTAACATAAAGTACCTAGGCATAGCATATTTTCCTATTTTTCCTTAGATAAAAATTGATACCAAATTAATAGGCTTGAAATGTAGGTTGTGAAGAAAAATGTAGTGCCTTCAAAATATTGAAAACAATGAAATTTTAGTCAAAATCACAAGGTTTAAACTCAGATGATTATAATGTAAGTTCTCAGACAAATGAGTAAGAGTTCAACTCAGCTTTGCACGGAGAGTTCAGAAATCATTGGAAATTCTGAGATTTCAAACCAGGTTTCCATTCAGTATGAGGCTAAGCATCACAGCAATGTCTTAATTTCTCAGAGATTTTTGATGCATCATGTTATGCAAATGAACTTTAGAAAAAAGAGAAGAATACTCTATACCATGATGTCTCATTAGTTAATATCATAAACAGGGTATAGAATGCAATTACAGACCCTCATTAAAATTGCACAAAAACAGGAGAATCCTAAAAAGAAGGGCTAAATTGCTTGTATATCTCAAAGGAGACAAGAAAATACTGAAAATAAAACCTTCTTATTTTCATAAGGATTATAGTAGAAAGGCAAAAAGGAATAATATCATTAACAAAGAAATGTCTGAGTGAAAAAATTACTCTGCTATAGGACATGTATCACAAATTTTAGAAGGTTTTCAAGTATCATCCAGATATTAGTATTTGTACTAAAAAAGTGCATATTAAGTATTTCCAATTTATTTTAGAGAAAAATTCAAAATATCTCTATCAGTATCTTCCTCCTCTAAATGGAAATTGAGAGAACCTTCCTTTCTCTTAGGGCAGCACTGCAGTTGTGATAAAACTCAGTGCTGGAAAGCACTCCTCCTTAATTTTGATCATAGCAGGACTTTCCTTATAAACACCACTTATTCAATTTTTCTCTCCCTGACATTTCAGCAGAATCCAAATGAATCATTCTAATCTTAAATTTTAAGACATGTTTAATCTACTGGAGAGTAAAAATTAAAAGATATATGGATTAGAATGAAGGAGTTTTAGCTTCTTTTTTTAAAGAGAATACACAAACTGTGCATTCTTAGGTTTTGCTCTTCAGGATTATTGTGCTTGTGATTGTTCAGTAATTAAAATAGTTTTTCATAATTAAAACTAAAAACATAATAGCTATATTATTTATGTTAATCCCCTCTTTTTATCAAATAATCACAGAGATGAGCTAAATATCTCAGTTCAACAAAGGCCTCAATTCAGTATCATAGAATTAGAGAATTATAGAATGACTTGAGTTGAGACAGACTAAAGATCATCTATCTCCAAACCCCCTGCCATGGGCAGGGACGGCTTTCACTAGACCAGATTGCTCAGAGCCTCATCCAACCTGGCCTTGAACACTTTCAGGGATGAGGCCTGAACAGAGAAGCCACAACTTCTCTGGGCACCCTGTTCCAGTGCCTCCCTGCCCTCACAATAAAGAATTTCTTCCTGATAGCAACACCTACTCTCTTTCAGTTTGAATCCATTCACCCTTGTCCTGTCGCTGCATGCTCATGAATAGTTTGTACACTTGGCCATTGCACACCAAGAATCCTTTCAGCTCATTCACATTGCCCCCTTGCTCTATGAACTAGGGCAGGGATAACTTGGCTTGGCAGCCCTGTGTCCCTTTTTCCTGACTGAGCCAGGCCGTGATTAGTGCACTGCATGGATTTCAGTAGTTCTTCAGATCCCACATTGTAAATATGGTCACAGCACCTACTGAACAAGTAAAGTCCCTGAATGAACAGTTTCTGAATTATTTCAACTCTATATTTTCTTAAGGTTCCTAAAATTAAAGTTTGTTCAGTCTTCAGTCTTTCAGTTTATTTGCCAGTTATTAAAGCTGCATCACCTTGCACAAAGCACCTGTATATTTTAACCCTCTTCTGATTTCTGTGAGAACATTTAAAATATACCCCAACTGTGACATTTATTATAAAAAAAAATGTTAAATATCTTTTCAGTTGTAATCACTTTATTACCTGTGTTGTAATGCTTGGTGCAGTAACATAAATCCTTTTCTTCTTTCAGCAGAAACTGTGGCAGAGTGAGACCTTCTGCTACTTGAACCGCTCCCTTTTCTTGCCACTCAAAAATGAGATCATTCATTGTGTATCCAACTAAAATGAAGAAAAAACCCAAATAAACTCTAAGTCTGCTGCAAGCTTTGAAAAGCAGTCACATATCAAATGAAAATATTTTAATAAATGTTATACAAAGGAGGTAATACACAGAGTCTGCTTGTACCTGTTAATCACAAATTTTTATCTGCCATTTTAGACCACATTGAATTGGAAGAGATAAAACAGATGTCTTATGAAACTCTTTTAAATCCTTATAATTATATGGTCTATTAATGGATTCAACAAAAGCATTTAAATTAGCTAAACATCCAAATATCTTTGGTGCTTGGGAATATCTTTTTCTCCTCAACCCATGAAGGATAAAATAGTCATTCAAATCTCTTCCTCCTTGAGGTGAAATGTGGATTGTCAAAGTTATGCTTATGGATTTATGTCAGTTTGAATGGTTAAGTGCAAATTGTTCAAAGACAACAATGAATTCAAAATTCTGCAGTAGTATTAGATGAATTGAAAAATTACTTTTCTCTCAAACTGGAACAAGACATGGGAAAGCAATTGATTATAATCTTCTCATATTAACTGAGTGTGACATATAATGATACTAATAAGCATTCAGCTTTAATATTCAGACTCCTGCACTTATCCATACCTCATGCATGTGTATAAGATTAGCTATAACAGCAAAAGACTAAGACTAATCAAGGCCCAGTCTTTGCAACAGACAAGTATACTTTTTCCTTCTATTTCCCTCTCTCAGATAAATGTTCACATGGGATATCATTGGGGAAAATATCCCTATTTCTTCTGAATATGTGATCTGTTAACTTTCCCAGGCATTTCATTCAAATTTTATTTCTAAATAAGAAAAGGCTTCATATTTTCATTCCATTTTAAAGCACATGTACTAGAAGGAACCAGAAGGTAAAAGAATTTTTTCATCAGATTTATATAGCTTTCAGTTTCATTGCAATATTTCCTTTCTGCTTTTGTCCAATATTAATAAGCTGTTGAAAATAATCTGTTGAGAACAAGAAATTCTTTTAAAATTTCAGTAACAAATTACTGTTTAAAGTATATTGTTCAGAACCTTCTAAGAATAACTGTCTGGACAAAATTACTGACATTTTGATTTTCAGCAAAAAAAGAACCTCTTTGCTGTGTGGGCACAAATCTTACTCCATTATATTCAATGACTTTGTTACTCTTTTGATACACCTATAAATGGCATTCAGTGACCTGATCTGCTGACCTCAAAACTGAGATAATTTCCTCTTTTCTGATCTATGTTGAATGAAACTAGGAGCTAAGAATTAGTGTTTATAAATGAAAAAAATATCTTCAGCACTTCTTCTTCCTTCTAAGCTCTTGATGTTTCTTTTGGGGAGAATCTTTATGCAGTGCATTCACAGGAACTCAGCCTGACTGTTGATTTACTCAGCACATTTTTTAGGCTGGATAAATATGATAAAAATGAGACCACCATAACTTTTTAAATAAGTAATTAAGTTCAGACATTGCTCAAGCCACTACAAGCATATATCAATAAAATTCTTGCTTTTTTATCAATTGCGTAATATTCCATAACACAGTTAAAATTCACTATTAATTGCCATAAACTGTGAAAAATCAGAAGTGTATATCTTATCAAACTTTGCATGAATTCAGACAAAAGCAGTTGTGTGTAAAGCAGATTACCACTTGAAGCATATAGATTATGGCCAGAAGTGATATTCCCTGAGTAAAACTCATTGAACTGGCAAGAAACAACTGCAGTGTCAAAATTTATTTTTCTAAATCAGGTTCATTCATCTCTAATGCATGCTTTTAATTTTTATTTTCTACTCTGACCACTAATTCTTCTATAATGCCATATAATACAAATAATAGCAGCATGTTGAAAATGCTGCTGTAGTAATTAGTTTTTGTAATGTTTACATTTTAAATGCCCAAATACAGTGTTAGCATTCAAAACTGTAACTTCAGTTTTGTAACTCAAGGTCCTAGGCATAAATTAAAAGTGTCTTAAAATATAGAGAACTTAATGGAGATGTGAGTTTCTGTTATACCAATTAAATTTAAAATAATAGAATGTTTCCACTAGTATGTTAAATTAAATCAGATTGAATGAAATCAAAAGTAAATTTATTTTTTCAATTAATTTTATGAAGAGGACCTGCTGAATAGTACACTGCTTAACACTCAGAATGCTCATGGTACAGTGCATAAGGGGAAAAAGACATTTTCATAGAAATCACTCCTTAAAACAACCAGCTTGGTAACAAACAGTGTAGTATTTATACTATTAGAGTTTAGTTGTGTGGTGCTATGTATGCAATGAGCCTAAAATACAGTCTCCTGGCACACTAATTTTGAGACCTCTGCTGATTAATTGTAATAACTGTCCCTGTCCTGTTCTAGAAATAATAAACCTGAAGTCCACCTGAGCTTTTGTTTCTTGCCTACTTGCTACCTGATTAACAAATGTGCATTATCTTTAACACAATTTAAAAAAAATATCATTCAGTAATATAAATTTAATTAAAAGTCTAAATGCCTGTTGCTGATACTGGTCTGCTTTTGAAGATTAGAAATACACTGTGTGTATTTTCCAGATGGTCTATGAGATAAAAAATATGGGAAGTTGTGTTCCATTACATGGTTATCACTGTGCAAATGGAGCAGTAAAGTGTGTCTTGAAATATGAGGGCTTTATTCTGAATGATGTGTGGCTACCTGTACAAACTTGTGCTATATGTGTCATTTATATTGTTAGAGATATTATGCAACTTGTAGGAACTACACTGAAATATGTAGCAGTTATAAAGAAAAAGAGATTTCTCTTTAGGGCCTATAAGAGATTGACTGCAACCCAAAATGATAGTTAGCCTCTCAAACCAGAAGCTTTTCTTTTTTGACTATGAGGTGGTGTTGGTGACTATTATAGATTGCTACCAGATGTTTTTATTACCAGTGGCTGGGAAGTACAATGTTTATCCACTAGGGAGTTCCTAGTGGATAAATTTTATTGTTGAAAAAAGGACAGTCAGTTACTAGATTAGGTAGTACATGAGGGTGCAGCTCACTTGTGCAAAAGTGAAATTTTTATTCTACATGAAATTCTGAAAGCAATGGAGGCTATAATCTAGCATGGTCTTCAGGACCAGCCCAACCTAAACTAAACCAAGTAGACTAGTAAAGGTTTCTATCACTGAAACCCAGTGCACCAGGGTTTGGGTTTGCAGGGCATGAAAGAATGAAGGCTGGGAAGGGAAGAAGAGTTGTTAAATTGTGTTTTAAAGGACAAACACCAGCTTCTGTGGCTGAAGAGGAGGGCAGTTAGCAATGTATTTCATTTTGTCTGGCTACTGTGCAGTACTCACTCTTACTTGATTCTATAAAGGTATTACTAATTATACAAAATCTAAATGGCATCCTCATGGAACTCCAAAGAAAGGATAGAAAAAACAACCTTGTTATGTTTGAAAAGTGATGCTCAGGAGTTATAGGGCAGGTTAGATCACATTAATACTCTATGAACCCAAAGTCTGAGGTCTTGCACATTTAAAATTCAAAAGCAGGCAGTAAATTATTGGTAATTATACGAAAAAGACATCATCCCAGGAGGAGAACGTTTCCAGGGAGAGTATTTCTCAGGAAAACTCAAGAACTGTGTGAATGCATGACACTGTAGCCTTTGTGCACAATTCTCTTAAAGAGACAAGTAATTTTCAGGAGCCTGAAGTCATTCCAGGTAATTAGCTAATGAAGCATATAATAGCAGACTAAGAGCTCTGCCTGAGAAGAATATGACAAACTAGGGAACATTTATAATTTACTAGGAGGGAAGAAGGCCTGAAACAATTGGGAAACTTGGGTTTGGTCTGCAGAAATATTATTTTAGAAAACTATGTTTTCTGAAACAGGTGATAAGTGCGACAAAATGCAAGTAAAATTCTGTCACACTAACAGAGGGAGAAGGTGGAAGAGACAGGGCATTGATGAAAAGTAGTTCTCAGGACTTGTGTTTGGAATAGTTGATGAAAGATTTTGAATAACTGGACATCAAATAAAATTGAATTTAGTTGATGTAATCCATAAAAAAACTGGCAGATGGTTGACAAGACAGACATAGTAACTTTAGCCTTTAGACAACACAGAAAGTTGTTTAGCTAGAGTGAAAATTTTCAGCATTTTCAATTACAGGTTCCAGAAAAATTTCAGGAAAAAACAATGTGATCCTACTCAAATATTTCTAAGTATAAAGGGCATCTAAAATGTCTTGAAAGAAAAACCAAACTTTTCTCTTGGTCTGACTCATCTTTCCAAGAAAAAAGTATCTTTTCAGAAACAGTGTTGACAAGTTGTTTTCAACACTCATATGAGATTCCTGAAAGAAAGAATTAGACTGTATCTTTGTATTTTTTGCGCTACCATTAATAACAAATATCAACTTTTCATTCATTCAATTTTGAAAGTATAGGAATAAAGCTTGCCTTAAATACATAGAGTCCCATTTAACCCACATCAGTCCACATTACTCTATAGAACTTACTGGAACCAAGATGTTTATATCAGTTGCATGCTAAAAGTAGGAAGATTTTATTTTAGATAATTCAGTATCAGTGGTAGGCGTTAAAAGCCCATTGTCTCATAGACAAAACAGTGAATAATGAACAAGTTTGGTTTGAAGCTTGGTTGAAGTGTTAAATTGTTAAATCTCTTCTCCTGCTTCCAAGGACTCCAAGGACTATACCATTACAGAAATATGTTATTCAAGGCAAGCAGCTCCCCTGTACCTTTAGAGACTCCTCACCTTTGAACTGTCATTGTTTTGGCAATTCCAACATAATTCCTTTATCATATCTGCTGACACAGTTTTATTTGCTTTATTTGCTTTTATTTGCATCCTCCTTTAGCACACCTTTCCAAGCCATGAGCAAACTTCTGATCCAGCTGAATAATAATATATCCAGTAAATTTTTCTATTCATTCTTTTTCATTACAGGAAGGCTGTGCTTCCCCTGTGTAATTTTAAA